ACAATTGTTTGTGAAATTATCCTGGGTCAATAAAGCTATTTTCTTAAAGACATTGGTATAGTGGTATATGATGGCATGTAGCACTACATTAGCACCCAATTACAAAAATAAAAAATGCAGGCTTAGAGTGGTATACAACTGTTATTGATATTGCAATTATGAATGATACAACAATTTTTAGATTATTTTTTTTCCATTATTATTTAAAATGTAAAAATAGATAATACAATCAAGGCATTTTCCACAAACATTGAAATAGTTCATCAACTTTAATTAACACTATTTTTTAATCATTAATATAAATAATAACATATACATTTTTGAGTTGAAGAAAACTACACTAAAATTTTAAAACGTCTATGTATGAAATGGGTACCTAAGTAAAATATTATCAACTTACGATTTAAACGTTTTTCTTGTTTTAAATATTAACACAATCTCATGTCTTACGTAGAACCTACTTATATAATAATATGTGCGTACTATATTTTATCGTCACACAAGAAAAATAGTTCTTGTAAATGTTTATTGCATTTATAGTGTTGTAAGTATAATAAATATTTACACATTACAGTGAAAAGAGATTCAACTGCAGATGACATTTGACGGGTGCTCTGTTGATGTTATGGGTTAATGGGTCACTCGAAGAATGTGTAAAATAAAAATTACCTTACTACATTTTTCATTATGTTCGAAAAAAACGCATATGTCTTGAACAAAAATCAGTTAACATTTTAAAAATGTGTTCAATATATATTATGGTTATTAAAAAATAAATATTGTCCAAAACTTATCACCATCGAATATTTTTGAGCACAATAAATCGATAATACTATACTTACGCTCGTATAAGACGATGTTTTAAATAAATTCAATAGGTACAAGCTTTGAATGGATTGATCAAATATCGTACACCGAGTTTAGAAGTTATTATTCCATTAACAGGAATAGTATTATTATATATTGTTGTTTTAAAATAAACACAATCCTATTTATAATTTAGTATCTAACACTAACAAATTCAATTTTATCAGTAATACTTCGTATACTATAAAAATCACATGAATCCAATGATAGTTATAATATTATATTTAATTATACTTAGTTCCAGATATCTAAAATAGTGGAAATATATGATTATTAAATGAATGCGCGTCTATTACATCGAAAAAACTATACTAAAGATATTATTATATAACATATAATACATGTATGGTATATATTATAAGGTAAAACTCGGAAGGATACAAAATATGGTTAACTGAAATTTTCTATTATTTCAATTTTTAACAAATTATCATAATAATTTCATAACATAATAAATTTTGAATCAAATACTTTCAATCAATTTATTTTTATTTACTACCCTAAAATATTGTTACGTATTAACTTAACGTTTAATATTAAGTATAGAAAATACAAGAACGTACAAAAATATTAACACGACATAATGCTAATTACTTATATTCATTATATACAACATAATAACATAACTTAATGATAACGCTGATAAGAATATCACATTTATAATTTTATATAGTTTAAATCAGAAAAAAATAAAACCAATTACGCACATTTTATTATTGTAAAACCCAGTTTAATCTAAAATAATCATAATTTCGTTAGATGACAAATTTAATAATACCGTATGTTTTTATAAATCAATTTTCAGCTTTTCTTGTTCAAACAAAATTAGTCAGTATAGCAATCAGATGTGGTATTATGTCCAACGCAGATTTCTTAAAATTACCGAAAAATGTGAAGAATATCTATAATCTATAACTCTTTATATAATTACACATGTCCTATTCTATGCCTGTAACCATACCTTTCATACTGATTAAAAAATATAAACAATAGATGAAATTACTGAAAAAGAATCCGTTCTCAATTGATAAATCACACAAATCTAATAATATTTGCTATCATTTCGACACTATTTTTGGTGGTCCTTCTTCTAGGCTGAATAGAAAATATTGTTATGATCGTTATTTAGGAAAATTGTAATTATCTTAAATTATAATCAATCCTAGTAAATTTTACTAATAAAGTACCATTGGGTAACTGCTTTTTTTTCATGTACCCAAGTTATAATGAATATTTACGTTCTACACACATGTAGATTGTAATACTTATAGATGGTTTGCTTTTCAAATAAAATTGAAAAAAAAAAATACTTACATTGTTTTATTGTAAATTTATTTTCTTAAAAAATGTTTTCCAAAAAAAAAAAAGAATGTATTTATAAAATTAGATAAACCACACATCGTTTCAAAACTTATAAATCTATCATATAATATAAAATATGTAAAGTCATATTGGCACTTCAGCTTTTTGGTATAACGAGAAACAAGCATGTGTGAGTAATCAGATATACCAATAGACAGCATCGTTTTGCAATTATTGAACGTTAAATTTAAAGTGTAATTTCTTATTTCCAAATGCTATCCCTAATCTGTTTAATTTTTTTCCACTGCATTAAGATGCATTAAAATTAAAGTCTAAAGAACCTTAAATTTATTGATTATACGATTTCTATCGATTATTTTTTTTTTATATACTACTCCTTATTTCATGTCAAAAGTTTACTGGACACAATTCAGTTATTTAAAAATAAAAATAAAAACCTTAAAAATTTAAATCAGTCGAAACTACTATAATCAAAATACAACGTTAATAAAAAAAAAAAACAAGAACTCTTTATCAAACTTTTTTCAATAATAAGCATCAATTGTTATCTAGGGTTCAAAAAAGTGCATCTACGTTAGTATAATAAAACGCAATATAATGTATACACATAGTTTATATTTATAAACATAAAATTAATACAACATTATACCGTATTATAAATATTAAATATAATAATATGCAATTATCCTGAATGTTTAAACAGTAGTTTTATTCTTTATGCATACATATTCCACAATGTATACATATATTGATGTATTAAATCTTAACATTTCATAATGAATGGTAAAATTATATTATTATATAGCGATAATAATAAAAACATTTTAAACTTTACATAAAAAACATAAGTGTAAGCAATATGATCGGCTTTTTCGAAAAAACTAAAAGTTGGTTTTTAATCAATTTTTACCATTGCCGTTTGAATTATCTATATTATACACCCACTTAAATATTATAGAACAAAGATTAACAAATAATTTTGACTCAGACATAAAAAATCATAAAATATTAAAATATAAAACTCTTTTGAATTCAGTCTTGTATTATATTATATACTATACTTTAATATTATATTGGATTAAAAATAAATTGGACGAAAAGAAGATTCCTTTAATTTCAAATTACGAATATAAGAACATTATAAAATATACCACATTGTATCCTACATACTTGATCTTATGTTTCGTTGTTAGTTTAAATATTTTATCGAGGTTAACTGGAAAAACAGTAATTCTATATCGTATAATTTTATCACATGTTTGTAATGTAACTTTATCGTATCATTTGGTTTAAATTTGTAATCAATATTTTATAAAACATATGTAGGTGGCATTAAATTGGTACATTATAAAAAAAAAAAAAAAAAGCTAGCATAAATGTACGTATAACGTCATATTAAAAACCAATTTATTTGAAGAACATAAAATATATTCCAAGTAACCGAAATAAAAATTTAAGCATAAGATATTTTTAAAACGTCAATTAAATTTATTTTTAAAATTATAATAAAAAACCCTGTGTGGTTTATAATTACACATTAGCATATTCAAAAAATAAACGTACATATCAATTATTCTTTACGTTTACATCATAAGTTATTATAATAAACCTACTCAAATAATTCTAAAACAAAAAATATTTATTTTTAATCATTTCATGATGTATTTATGATTGTATTTAGTGCATACCGGGAAAAAAGTATATAAGTAGAAACAGTTTAGTTTAATAAACTAAAAACATACCACCCATTAGTTATGGTTATATTTATGGTAATAATTATTTTGTACTTACAAAATAAGAAAAACAAATAAAAACTATGCTTAATTAGCCCTCTATAACTATTTGTGAATGTTGTACGATGAAAAAAAAAAAATCGAAAAATTATGGAAGAAAAAGAAAAATAGTTTAAATAATATATATATATATATATTTTAATATACTATGCATAAATATTAAATACCAAAACCTTTATAATATATTATTATATTATTCATTAGCTCCTTAGACCTTAGTCGTATTTGTTTGATCAAAATTTAGACTTAAGAATAATTGTGTATGCATATTATATAAGATAAGTAAGATGATAGTTAAAAAGTCATAGATGACATGTACAAACTCGAATCCAAAATATAAATATATTATAATACTATTACGTATAATATGATGACAATAATATATTTTACCATAAATAATATTAAGGCTGGAATTTCAATGAACTTTATGTGTTCTTTCTTTGATAACATAAACAATTTTTTTTTTTAAATCATAATAAGAAGTTTTTGTTTACATTTTTTTTTCATTTTAGAATTTTTAGGACATTTAACCCTGAAATCCAGATTTTTTTTAAATAGATCACTACTTCCCAGTTTTAACGATACAAGCATATAATGATTTTCACAAAAAAACAGTCTTATGTTTTTGTTAAAAATGTATTGTATTCTAACGTATATTAGGTATGCATACTTTTAAATAACTATTGTTGTACTCATAATCAAAAGTTAAATATTTTATTACTAAATATTCTTACATCAAAACTTCCTGATTTCAAATTAAATTCAAACATTATCACAAAATATTTATATACAATTTTTGAGTTTTGAACGGATTTAAAATTCATCAAAAATAATTTTGTGAACTATATATATATATTTTAGTTATTTATAAATAATGAACATTTTATTGTACTTGGCGTGGACGTAATTTTGGTTTTAAGCTCTTACTAATTTGTGCGCTAGTAAAAAAAAAAATATAATATATATATATATATAATTAATATTAATAATAATGAATATTTATGGAGGTCAACAAACATGGTTAAGTTAAGTTAGCGTTATGGATATGCAATTCGTGTTTATCTATATATATATATTTATCTCATTTAATATTCATTTTTTTGTTTAATTTATTTCACCATTATTTTAAAAATAATAACGCTGGGACAAAAAGTAAAAAGTTAAATTGATCCGAGTTACATTCACAACACTTGAATAATGTTTTATATAATAAAGAAGAAAATCACTGAAAGAAATAAAATTAATTCTATTGTCAAGAAATTACTAACGTAATTTTTCTAGCATCGATACATTTAGACAAACACATGGGCGTAGGTAAGGGGGGGTTTTGGGTGTTCAAACACCCCCCGAAATTAAATAAAACAATCTTGAGCTTTTTGTGAATTTGTTCGAGAATATTATTAACTCGCATATTATGTAGGTACTAGGTATAATTTGTGGGAAACCACAATTTACATTGTATACTAGTTGTATTGCAATTGTTGGTAATAACATAACAAAATAGGTATAGTGTATAAATACCATAAATCATTTAGATAAATTCAATATATAAGGGTTTTATCGGCGGACCGCGATTATCAGCTAGCGGCTGTCTCCAATTATTGTTTCCGTTAAAGTCTTTATATTACTCCAAGAAGTAATAAATAATGAAATATCACAAAAAGCACATCAATTTCTGGCAACTATTATCAAACCTGATTTCATATTGGCATTAAACGTAACTGAAAAAGTTTTTACTTTTACACTTCCACTGTGTAAATATTTACAAAAAATTGATTGTGATCTTACCAAAGCATGTGATCATGTTCAAGTTGTCATTGATTCATTAAATACTCTTCGTCAAAATGCTGAGGTGGAATTTAACCTAATATTTATTACGGCTTCGAAAACTTTAACTGATGTAGGTGGCACAATGAGCGTACCAAGATTATCAAAAAAACAAATTAATCGAGATAATTATACAGAATCTACGCCGGAAGAATATTATAGAAAAGCACTTTTTATACCGTTTCTTGATCATTCTATAACACATTTAAAAAGTAAGTTTGAATATCATCATGATTTAATTTTATCTTTTCAAAATATTATGCCGAATAAAGTTGTTTTTACAAATGAGAAAGATGTTTTTAACTTATGGGATTTTTACAAGACAATACTTTCGGATCATCAACAGTTTAATTCAGAATATTTACTGTGGAAATCCAAATGGGTTAAAGAAAAAGAAGATTGTAGGCCATCCTCGGCATTTGAAGCATTTTTAAAATGTGATTCTGATTTTTTTCCAAATATAAAACAATTGTTAACTATTATTTCTACACTTCCCGTATCAACTACCACTGCAGAAAGAACTTTTTCAACATTACGACGTATTAAATCATACTTGAGAAATTCGACAGGAAATGAACGATTAACTGGACTTGCTTTGCTAAGCGTTCATCGTGAAATTAATATTGACCTGGAAGAAGTGATTAATATTTTTAAACTTCAACCAAGAAAACAAAGTTTTATCTTATAATTTTTTTTTTATTTTTAAATTTGTAAATTATATGGACAAAATATTGTATTGACCATGGGTATTCAATTGTATTATTTAATATTATTATATTATTATTTATAATTATTAATTATTATTATATTATAAATAATTATAATTATTATTATATTATTTAATACATACAAATAACTGATTCTTAATTTTATCATATTAATATAGATTTAGACAAAAACCCCCTCCGAAAATATTTCCTACCTACGCCCATGGACAAACATATTCTTATACCGTGAAATATAACAGAAAATAAGGTTTGATATGAATTAAAAAACAAATAATCAAAAAGATAAAATAAAATAAAATAATAATGGTGGAAAGTGAAATGAAGAACACGACGTTATAATAATAATATTGTGTGCGAGACATAATTTGTTTTTGCCATAATATATAAACACAGACGTTTTATCAAAATATATTGATAATATAAAAAATATTATTCTAAAGCGTGTAGTGTTCTAATAATATCATTATTTTTCGATAACATCGTACACGATCTATATTCTATTCTGTGCTATAGGTATATTAGATATTTAATATTGTGTTAACCATGCGTTGATATTCGATGGTGTTTTTTCTCCAAATATTTGAAATTTTAATCTCGCGTATCGTCGCTGTATGAGCGGCAAATGGGCATTTTATACACGCTGTTTATGTACATTAATCGAACCACAATGGCGGTTATCTTTCGATACTCGATTTATAATTAATATGATTTTGAGGTATAAATTTAAAGCAAAATCGATTCTACTGTTCTGTTACCAGCTCGTTCAAAGTAATAAATATAATGTTAAGTAAGTTAACTTTTTGATTGCTTCGTCAGCAAGTTTCTCGGCAAAATTAGTGTGTTTACTCTTCAGACTTCTCAATAAGTATTAATTTAGAATTACTTTCTCGAGCATCTCTCGCAAAATAATTATTCCTTAATGGATACCGATTTGCTCCTTGACGCAAAAACTTTACATCGGCTTTATTTTTTTAATTAAATATTCTTTAAATAGACCATTATAAACCTACTCGGTTAATATAACGACCTCGGTATGGCAATAACGTTTTAAGTTTTACATCGAACACCGTTGCAACGTCCCGTACATAACCTGAATAAATATTAAATTATCATAAAAATGCCACGACGACGAATATATTGAAATATAATACTGATTCAAAGACAATTTTATTATTCTCAATCTCTTTGATGATTAACTATTACTGGTATACGAGTGTAAACAGACAATAATGATTGATTCGACCAATTAAATTAGCGGTTTGTAGAGATTAACTTATAGATACACAAGTACACAACAAACAAGCAGCCATGTTTAAATTTGATTATAACCGCCACACTGGCATACGTCAATCGAATACGATATTCAAATGTATGCGAATTTACTCTGATTCAATTACGGAATAATATTGTGACAATATCAAAGTGATTACTACAATATTACTAATATAATATGAGAATATAATCGGCCTTTTATAATCATTTCAATCGCATACAGTCGACCTACAACACTATTAGAACCACGTACATGTTATGACGTCAAAAACTGACCTAAACAACATTTGTGTTGGTTTGAAGGAGTTACATACCTATTTATACATATATATATATTGGATCTGTGATCAATATAATGGTTAATATAACTCTTGACCTAAATATATAATTTCCAAAATTTTCCTGTCTTCCAAACTAAGACATACATTATTTCAAAACCTATTACCTTTTTTTGAAGATATGTTTTTACATAATTATAAGTTGTAAAAAACAGCGATTTTCCTAAATAAAAAAATGTATAAGTAGTAATTAAATACAACATTAAAATCGAATTTTTAATGAGTATTACATGAGTTATTCGTATTTTAGTATTTAAAGTTCAGAGGGATAAAGTCGAGTGGTACAAGGATAACCCGTGAAATATTAGTTTTCAATTCCGCTTATCCAAACTTTAAGTACTTAGCTATAATTAATTAACGAGCAGTTAAAAATTTGAAATTTTTATAAATCAAAGTAGTCCGAATAATATTTCACTTCGGAATAAGAAATCAAATATGTATGTTGTCAACAGAATAAAAACTTCAAAAATTAGTAAAAATGTGTTTTCCCAAAAATTGTATTTTGTAACAATTGTTATTTAAAAGAAACATTTTAAAAAACGTTAGTGATTCTGAAATAACGAGTACCTAGTATTAAATGGATCACTTCATATATTCTTGAAATTCTATTATATTAAAATAATTATTTACATGTATTATTTTATATTAGCGCCTTTTTGTTAATGTTATTTTAAAATAATTAAATTAACAACACTACGTTAATCATCTTTACGATAATATGATATCATTATTGGATATTCAAGAACTCTTTACACGATGGTCGTGCACAGGTGTTGGAATCTCACACCGTCCGTTTATCGATTGGAAAGTGGACACAGATGGCCTACTATATTATTATTTATTATTGTAGAAGGGTCTTTTTTTCGTAAATGATCAGTAGTTTTCGAGTAAACGTCGAGAGCAAAAATGCCGAAAATTTTGTTGGTGTTTATAAAGTATATAAATATATAATAATATATACTTACATACAATCGCAATAATGTACACGAGTAATATTGCTTATTGGCGACATTACAATAATTTATCACCAAACTGTGGTAATAAACAGATTCTTACTTTTTATATGAACATGCAAATTGTAATAATATAATTTTTGGAATCTCTTAATATTTTTCAGTATCACATAAATACAAAAATAGAGTAAAAATACGGCCTTAAAATCGTTTATCAATTTTAAACGATTTGTATTGTTTCCAAATAAAAAATAAATTTATTTCGTTCTTATACGAAATGTATTCGAGTCTCTTAGATATATTAATGTCGTATTTTTTTCATAATTTTATAGTAAGGTATTGAGGGTCAGATTGGGCCGGTAATGAGTGTTTGGTCGTAATTTTTTTTTATAATAATGATAAATTAGTATGATCAAATTATGGTTTAATAATAACGATAACTGTAGCTATAATTAAACGTTAGAAATCATAAAACTAAATAGCCCGATACCTTGCCAAATAAGCGCTGTAGGTATTTTTCATTAATAATAAATATTGTCTTTAGGACCAATGTTTCTGAACCATACAAACGTTAAAAAAACGCATATGGCATGTACAATTAATAATAAATTGGAAGTTCAGAATAAACAATTCAAGAAATTTATTTTTTTAATTTACCATTTTTTTTTATATTAATTTTTAAAATTTTGTTCAAACATTAGGATATTATAAATATATAATTATACATAAATATATACTTACATTACTTTTGTACACTTTCTCACTTATGAGCATATAATAGGTACATACTATACAGATGTAACAATAATATATATTATTGTTACATTACACCTATGTATGTGTCAATTCCGTAGTAGGCAATAGTGGGATATTTATGCTGAGATAAACATTGTTAATGATTGTGAGGCCTGTGGCCAATACGCACCGTTTATCGAAAGGGCAGTTCGAGACTGACCAGCAATAAACACGAACTCACCAAAAAACATGAACTCACCAACACCGGGATTGTTTACCACCATCTACATTTTGTAAAGTACAAACCAAAAATATATTTTGAACAGAGATTTATAAACCAAACGTGTTTTATTTATTGATAAGATCCCACATACCGTGTTCTAACCCCCTAGCTACGGAAAATTTATCCATAAGGGCCAGAAAACCTTCCCTGGATAACTAATATAGTAACTAGGTTCCCCAGCCACGTTACACACTGTTTTTAACAAAGTCTTATACAAATACAATAACGACGCGATATTAATGAACTTGATAGTTGCTTACGTAGAGTATTGACTTGCTAGATTTACATTATTTAGTACACCATAATGTAATTAATAAAATAATAACTTAATGTGAAATTTATAATTTTATGATAATTTGCGTATTGCTACATGGATAAATTAAAAACTGATACTTAGTAAGTAGGCAAACTATGTGCACCAAACATTTTCCATGCATTTATATGTTTATTTTAGTAAATTCAGTAAATACTAAATACATAAAATAAATACGTTTAAAGGTAATGTTGAACCAAATAATATCATATTAAAATATTAACTTCTTAATAATTAACTAAACACTTGATTATAACTGTTTTACTGATTTTGAATTTGGTTTTAGAAGAAAAAAAATATAGTGTTTTTTGTAAAAAAACTTAGATAATTTATTACTTTATAGTTTAAAAATATTTATTTATTTTGATTTAATGAAATATGTTAGAATCCCGAAATCCCAAAAATGAATTGACTCAAAATTTTGTTTATAAATTTAAGTGTAAAAAACTAAACAAATACATCAATTTTATTAACGCCAAATCTTACAAGTATCACAGAGTTCCAAGTTTGTCTAGTAGTATTGTCGAGGTTGTTCAATGATAATCCTATATAAATTAATCATATCCTAATATAAAGTAAAATTTATTTATGCGATTTTAATTTATAAATTCTGAATAATTAAGACATTTGAAACATATAAAACTAAATACGCAGATTTCAAAATAAATTTCAGTACCTATTTTAAGTTATTTTTCGTTATATATTGATAAAAATTTGTTTTTGTGTTTTGGTCAAAAATCGTGAAAATTCAATACAAGGTTTCTTGTGATATTTTACATCTTTGGTAATGTTTAAAAGTTTCAGGTAATCTATGCAAGAAAGCGTAAAACATTTCTAAACCATTGCTAATCTTAGAAAATCTGTGCTATTTTAAGAAATCTTTTGACATTTTAATAAAACTATTTTAAAATCTTAAATTTTTTAGATATCTTTAGGAATATATTCAATAGATCATTAAAATTTATGGAAATTTCTTTGGAATCTTTAGAAATTTATTAATAGTTATTGGAAATATGTAGGTTTGTTGAGCAATTATCAATTGGTTATCTCTGATAATCCATTAAGATTTATAGAAAACTCTTAATAATTTGAGGCAATTATGAGAAAGTTCTGTTAATTTTTGGATATTTCTTTATAATCATTAAATGTTTCTGCTATATAATCCATAAACCCTTTTAAATAATAGTAGGTAATTTATTATAAACTTTGGGTGTTTCTGATAATCTTTATAAATCTTCAGGAATTTCTTTGTAAAATGCTGTAATTTGTTAATATTTATTGAAAATCATTAAAAATATGAGGTAACTCTGGATAATAATAATTTATCTCCGGTAATATTTGAGATTGCTTAAGCTAAAGTAATCGCGAAAGCCACATTTGATTTGGCCGGATCTTACTTTTTAAGTCTGTGACTGTATTTTACCGGAATTTATAGATACAAAAAAAAATAATCAAAAATGCCAAAATAATCAAAACATATCATAAAATATTGAAATTATCATCATACACAGAAAATACATAAATGTATATACATTTAATGAGAATTTCAAGTATATTTGTTTTAAGTAACATCAAAAAAACTAGCCTTATCATTGATTCTAATTTTCATTATTTTTTTTTTCAGTAAATTATTTTTAAAAATTGTTTGATTTTTTAATTTTTATCTCTTAAAATTACCGATTTCTACTAGGAATATAATTCAAAGCATCATTTTTTTTCTATAATTTTTCGTGTATACAGATAAATAAAATGAATTAAAAACGTTGTAAAATCTATACATTCATCGATTGAATTAAAATAAAAATTCTAAGAAAATGATAATTTTTAAGAGATTATTAAAATATTGTCTAGTGATCTCATTACTAAGAGATTCGATAAGCTGACTATTTAAAAATTAATTTAATATATGCAATTTTTTAAGTGTACGAATTAGATAAAGTTCATACATTATCATATGAATATGTCTGTAGCTTGAATTAAGAAGAAATAGCTAGAAGCATCCGAGCGCACATACACATGTTAAAAATGCATAGATATTAATTACTTTTTTTTTTTGTCTAAAATAATTTAAAAAATATTTTAAATAAAATCATTTTCTAAGATTTTCTTATTTTTCCATTATTGTATCGACTAACTTATAGATTATAGGTCATTTGTTACAATTATCAAACATGATTTTAACATCATCACGAAATTAATTTGAAAATAATATTCATATAATAATATTAATAATTTGAATTAAATGCGATCAAAATCTAAAATTATCGACAACCAAAATTTAAAATTCAACTATTGGTGTATTATAAATTAAAATTCAAAAAGTGAAATAATTATTTTCAAACTAACCGTTTTGTATAATATAAATAGTTTTCAGAACAATTACTACAATATTTGAAACCATATTGGCGTGTATACACAATCTATGAACGACATAATAATCAACCGGCTATTAAAACGATGTCGATAGAACACGTGGTAACTACTATGATATTATAGAATAAACAGAGAATTTTTGACGCATAAAATATAACATAAATCAAGAATTAAAAAGACATTATATTGTTCAATTTATAGTGATCATAATTATAAATGGATAACCCTTAAAATTGGAATGGTGTTCTCTATGAGCATCGTGAGTTTGGCAATCTTAATTTTTGAGTTTCTATGTGTAGTGATAAACTCTGGGGCAGGTCATCACGTTGGTCACCACGCCGGTCATCACACCAATCACGGTCATCATGCTCGTCAAGGTCACATTGGAGGTGGTGTTGGTAAGCGCAACAGATATGGTGGACACGGTGGAAATAGTTGTCGTCACGACCATGGTCACGTGGCCAGTGGAGGACATCGCAACCAAGCTCTTTCGATGCACCGCAGTGGTGATAAAAATCCGTTCAACCCGGCAGGCTATTTAAATTTTGAAAACAAAAAACCTCGATCATCGGCACATGCTAAGAAGAAGGGACACGCTGACATCACACATTCGCAGACTACTTCAAAAGAAGTGAATCCAGTAAAGTCCGTCATCTTAGATGCTGCTAAATGTAATCATAATATTATCACATATTAATATTAATATTTTTATTATAATGATTATTGTTATATTTAAAGATTAAATTCTTATATTGTATGCTCATCAAGAACTCACGTAATCTGATCTTGAAGGCATAATGTGCACTTCACACACTGTTCATCAAAGTAGCATATTATTACATAATGATCAAGTCCTGAGTGTCTTACAACTATTTTTTTTATTTTTTTTTATAATATTCAGATTTTATAAACCTGCTATTTTGGTAAAGGCTTAGTCCTATCACAATTATGTAATTTTTTTAAAGGTTGCAAAGTTATTATGAATGTAAATCATAACAGCACATTTTAATTATAATTATATAGTGTATGATATAAAATTGTTTCCGTTTACTATACAACTGTGTTGCTAATACATTGAATTAGTGATTTAGGTGATTAGGGGGGGGATACATCTGGTGTTTTTTTTTTAGGTATTAACAATAGTTTTATAATTTTTTGTTTGTCTTTCCATTTTCATAAATATAGAAATATAGTAAGAAAAAATAAATTTGAAGGAATAAACAAAAATACGGGTACCTCTATATCTCACTGTTATTACCGCCACCGAAACTCTGTGAAAAGCAGCTGGCTGTACAATCATAAATTTGTAACATAAAAATAAAATATTTTTAGAATAAAATACTAAAATAACAATATATATATTATGGAATAATATTGTATTATTATAGGAGTATATTGCAAGTAATCCAATTATTAGTATTCTTATTTGTTTTATAAAACAATATACGTAGTTTCGACGAAAGCACACTTGCTGATTGTAATTTGTATTTATGTATAAACGTTTATTTATTTTAAACTCAGTGCGTAATAAAATTAAATAAAACTGAAAATAAAAAGAACGCTTGGCTATTTTTTAAACTATAGGAAAAGAAGTAAAATATTCATACAAAACCCAAATATGTGAGTAAAAGTGTCAAAAATATTTGATTAATTATAAAATAATAATTATCTCGTTATTAAAACGTATTTATTAATGTTTGTTTTATTGATTTTCGAACAATAAATTAGGTAGTGGTGAAACAAATACTTAAGCAAAAATTAGTGACAAGCTGTCTTCAACCGAAACAAGTAAGAACTAAGATTAATTAATTTATTTTAGTCTAACAAAATTTGGGAGGAAGGCGACATCATAGTGAAAGCCTAGAGCAACATTTGTGCTTAATCAAGTCATGAAGTCTATGACTTACTTGATTTAAAAATCATAAAAATATTTTAAGAAGCATAAAGTTAAACTAAAGCATTAGTTATACCTAAGTTAAAAGATATATTTTCATCTTATGTACTAACATTTTGATGAATTCCCTAGGTTTTGAATGCTTATTTCACTAGGAGTTAACTCATGAGGATTGGATACAATTTTAATAGTTAATAATAAATCAATAAATATTTTCTCATTATTGGTAAACATAATTTTTTGGCTTAACTTATAATGTAGAAACTAGAATTAGCCTCAAGCTGTCAAAATATAGTAAAAAAAAAAAAAAAAAAATGGCTTAATAAATCTACAACACTGTAATTAAATTATTTATCCAAACATCCATTTTTTTGATTAAAATATAAGTCACTTTGCCTGTTTCTACAACAACACCTGAGCGGAACAATATTTCACTTTAAAATTATTAAAATCATATTGCAAAAATTCAATGAATAAAATTTTACACATATTATTTCAATGTTTCATTACAACCAAAAATATTTATACACATAATATATTTATAATTATTTTTATTGTCATTTATAACATTATAGATGAAATAGCCACCAAAGAAAGAAAAATTGATTTTGTTAAATGATTTTTTACAATAGCTTAAATTTAATAAAAATAATGATTAATAATTATTGTATTAGTTGGTATTCAATGTAGAATATCATGTAAACTATACAGCATATTACAGTAGAAATGTATTGAAAATGTCAAAGGGGATGTGGGGGTGAAGCCACCCCGTTTTCATTTCCATGATTCAATGCTTTCCTTTAAATTATTCCTAAATACACCACTGTCACTAATGTATGCACATGTTTATGTAAACGCCCGAATCTTATTAAAATAGTTGTGATCTACATTTTACGAATGTTCTTAAAATTGCTATGAGAATACTACCCTCAAGTTCTTTGATACACCTTTTTAATTTTCAGAGAACTATTTAGCCATTTGGATCATCCAATTGTTTTTGTCACCAATACATTTACTTTATTTTATACCGTTACACGTCATAGTGCAATATATATATTCACATAAAACTGCTATACGTCTCACATCTCCCACCACCACAAATCGTTTGAAATCTGATTTCGATCCGTAATACTTACAAAAAGCGTTGCATTATTAAATTTGTATCGGTATATTTAAATTGAAAATCACAAATTCTGATTGTCTTTAAGTTATCAACTAAATATGTATAACGTATAATATATAATATGCAACATGTACGTGTCATATCATTTTAAAATGTATTTTACGCCTTACCGAACCTATATATCATATATTCATATATTATTATTTATAGTTGTGTAAAGTCAAACGTTTCATATACGACCTTTTACGTGATTAAGTCCAAATACGTTTGAAACCTAAAAACTTATTCACTCCAAAAGTTTGAAAATGTCGGTAATAAATTATGAGTTTTCACAAGCTAACTTTAATTCTTTTAAACATAATATATGGTTGCTTTTTTCAACACTCCGTTTCATTTAGTTTACTCTTTTCCAAGTACTATAAAATACCAGATAGTGTTTTTGTAGTGTTTCAGATAAAACGTGAAAACGAATCAAACATTCACAAACATACTGATTCATCAAATTAAAATGTAAATTACCAAATACCATTTAAGAATTAAAACGTATCTCTTTAGCATTTTTGTAACATTTATTTATATTTCACTTTTAACAATTTTTAGTCAATTAAATAATATATTATATATATTTTTTTAATTCTGAGTAGACCGATGAATGCATTTAACAAAAAAAAAAAAAAAAAAAAATAAACAGTACCTATATATTATTATAAATATTTAAGTTTTATTATACAACTAAATAATTAATTAAAAATATGTATGTATAGTGCACACATAGCTATTTTTAAATTATAAATAATTTTTTTTTTTATTATTATTAGCACATTATCAAATTTGAAGAATTAAATTAATTTAAAAAGACTTATAACTGTAATTTATTTCAGAAATTTATATTAACACATTTTTGTAATTACGTTTATTAATTTTATATTTTTCTACTCTAATGAATTTTCTCGAAGAGTTTTGACATTTTGACAGCTACCACAATATCACGCCACTTGTCTCTGTCATGTGCTATATTCTTTTAGTTCCCTATACCCAGCTTCTCTAAGTCATTTCTTACTCCGTTCAGCCATATTTTTTTGGGTCTGCCTTATGGCCTTTTCGCTTAAGATATCCATTCAAAAACTACTCATAATGAGTAGTTTTCTTTTCTGCGGATAATAAGCCCAATCCATTGTTTTCTCTGGCCTTTGATAAAGTTAGTTATTATATCAGTATTTTATATAATAATTCAAAAAATAAAATCATGTTTATGTACTATGGATATTATATGCATAATAATATTATGAAAATACTCTTGTCTCATTTGCAATTTTCAATATTAAGTTCAAAGTAAGCATCACCAAAGTATGTTTAAAGCTCATTTTTTTGTTTTTCAAAAAGTTTAATATTTTTTTTTAAATATTAGTGTGATTATTTATGAATTTGTCATATTTAATATTCATGTGATTTTTCACCTATAAAAAAATGTAAATCTAATTATCAATGTAAAATATGGAAGATTGTTCTATTTAAATAAGTACAAGCATTTGTACTAAACTTAAATAAAAAATAAACAAGCCTCCGAAGTATCTATTAAAAAAGTGTTAATGGACCGTGAGTAAAAAACCGCAAAGTATATAAAATTATTACAATAACTTTTAATTAAGTCAATAAAGGGGGTTTTAGTCATTTCTCTTCCAACATTATTATTTTTTAGACTTACAGTAATTATTCAAATTCTCAACAACTTTTATAGTAATTAAGAAATTATTGTTTAATTTGTCATTCAATTAAGATGAATGTTTTCAACCAATACAGCATTAAATGTAATTTTATTTTTTTAATAAAAATGTTATATTATGTTAATTTTATTTCCGTTATTCACATTAATGCATAAATAAATGACAGACAAATATCCAAAAATTGTTTTTTGATAGTAAAACGCAATTTTATAAAGCATAAATAATAGAATTAAATAAAATTATAATATGATATATTATATGTATATTGTATATACTACATCAAATAAGTATGTAATAACTGTTTCGATTAAAATATTTTGTCCAATTCCTGTTTTATATTTCCAAATTATATCTTAAAAAGAATCTTATTGACTTCTGAAAAATTTTAGATCATGATATAGAGCACTCAGGCACTATTACTAGTCTATTATTGTTTTATTTTCATGGAAAAACTTTTAATCACAACATGTATATTTTATAATATAGCCAATTTCACTTTAATTTCATACCAATAGGTACAATATATAATTATATATATATATAGTAATAAAAATAAATATCACATAATTAAACGGATAAAAAAAAATAAATAACAAAAATTATATCAAAAGTTAGTATCCTTTTCTTTTTTTGACATGTTGTCTTTATATAGCACAGCCAAGTATATTACTATTCTATGATTTATGATACAACAGCATTATATTTTGTACGTGTGTATTTCGTAGCAGTCACGTAACGGTATTAAAATGGTATGACGTAAAATTTATTGTGTTTTAATGACATACAAATATAATAAAAAGTTGGAATAGTTGAAATTCAAAAGAAAGAAAAAATGTAGATGGTATTCAAAGTGCAACGTTAAGTTTTCAAATAAAATAATAATATAATTTATTATATATGTATTATACCGTATTATTGCATTATATTGTGTATAATAGTATTATAATAATACACTGCAGGTAGTAAATAACATAAATATTTATACTACAAATTATATTTTGT